ATGTAAATAAAAGGCAGATCCAAACAGAGCTTCTACAGAATTTATAACAAGCTGCCTTCCCATCTTCATTAAGGAGGCAAGAAACAGGGCCCAAGCCATAGTTTAGAAAAATGTTAGGGGAGCTTAATACTTCTCAAAATAATTAAATCTATTGATATTCAGTACTTTCTTGTATAGGACAAAAAGTTGAGTGGAAGAATGAAGCAGAGAAATGTTACAGGTGGAAGGGATTAAACAATCTTCTCAGGAAGGCAGTCTACACTGTTGGAATTTTTAACTCTGTTTTGATAACAAGATGAATATTCATGAAAGATAAGTGAGATTCCTCCCCATCTCTGTTTGAAAATGCATCTATGTTCATTAAATCACATTGATGAAAAAAAGCTTTATGATCAACCAACTTACATAAATGTATTATTACTATTATTATTATTATTCATTATTATTATTTAGAGGAGCTGCTAAGCTCCTGACACAAAGGAAATGTATAAGTTAGTCCCTTGGTCTGATTGGTTTGCATTGTAAACATGCGCAGAAGTATGAAGTGCAAGTCTTTATAATGATCACTTCCCAAGAGGTAAATATAAAGGGTGTAGAACTTTATGGAGTTTAGTATTTATATTACTTAAGTGTCTTTCTTCATTCTAATTCTATTATGCAGTGTTATCTACTATTAATGGAGTTTGGTCTACATCATTAGGGCATTTTTTTTTCATAAACAATTTGGTATAAGCGGCAGGAGTGATATATTAGCTACTAATTTTGTATGTTGGTTAACATACTTACATATAAATTTGAATTTTTCTAACAACTTTGGAATAATTTCTATGTGTTGGAATTTCCAGGACTATGTATATGCAAAACCCAAGGTTTGAGTACATTTTTCCCTATTTGGAGCAAATTCTCCCAAAGTTTGAATAAGAGTTCTCCATTTCTTAAAACTGCACTAAGATAAAATATCAGCGCTTTTAATCATTAATATAACAGAAAAATTGCTTTCATCTTCTGTTAATGTTAAGTGGAATCATCTGCATATAACCTTATTAGTCATTTGTGTTACTTGCTTTTCCTCAGTTCCTTATTTGTTCACTTCCTTTGTAATATTAATCACTTTGTTCCTGATCCCTGAGAGCTCCTTCATAATTATGTTACCAATTTATCATGCACTGCAAATGTTTTCCACTTTTTTTATTGGTTTTTTGTTTGTACAAAAGTTATATATTGAAATGTAATCATGTTCTGTTTTTAAAATATAAATAAATGGGGCCAGCATTGCAGTGTAGAGGTAAAGCCACCGCCTGTGTGACACCAGCGTCCCACATAGGAGCTGGTTTGTGTCTTTGTTGCTACACTGACCATCTAGCTCCTCTCTAATAGCCTGAGAAAAACAGCGGAAGATGGTCCAAGCACTTGGGCCCTTGACACCCATGTGGGAGACCCAGAGGAAATTCTTGGCTTCCAGCTTGGGCCTGGTCCAGCTCTGGCTGTTGGAGCCATCTGGAGAGTGACCTAGAGGACGGAAGATCTCTCTCTCCCTCTCTCTCTAAAAACTTGCTTTCCAAAAATAAATAAATAGATCTTCAAAATATAAACAAACATACAAGTATGTATGTTACGTACAACTTCTATAGGGGTAAAAAATGCTATTAGTTTGGATTCCTTAATTTCCAGATGAAAAAAAACTGAGCCTCAAAGATTAAAGAACTTGCTAAAAATCATGGTTGTCAAAGACACCTCTCTCCCAATCTGTAGACACTTTGCCACACATCACAACCTTACAATGTAGAGAAGGAAGCTCAGGGGCCTTATTCTGACTTCCAGCAATCCTCTCTACAAACACAATCCCCTCCAAACAAAGAAGGCTTGAAGTCTATGCCAGAAGGTTAGGTTTACTTCACTAAACATTAACCCTCAAACTGCTCACTGAATTGCAGAAGCTTCTTCCTAAATTCACTGCAGGGCTTTTTAATTCCAAAGATCCATGCAATAAACTGTCCAGTACTGAGAACAATATTAGATTTGAATAACATGAGATGCCCAGCACAAATGAATATGGATTCTTAATTGAGTCTTTATTCCAAATGTTGAATCTGTTTTTGTTTTAATAAATTAACTAATTTTGTCACATTTAATGCTTGAGATCTGCAAGGAAAAGATGATGATGAAAAGGAGATTGAGCTTAAATCAAATGAAAACACAAAAATCCATATGAGGAAAAAGGAAAGCAGACTACGTCCTGGATGGTTGGTCATTTGGAGAAGATGTACAGGAAACCAAAGGATGGGCCAAAAGCTTGGTCAAGACACTTGGAAGTTTCTTCTGATTGCAAATCTGTTGAATTGAAGCTAAATTGACTACTGTCAGATGCCTCTCAGTAACAGCCTGGCTACTGGTGACCAATCTTGACATCTGTACAGCCCAGAAAGCAGTATGTAAATACTTTGGAGGCCAGGAAGAAAACTTTGTTACATTTGTATGTCAATGAATTGTTACTGAGTATGTTCTGCCTCTATCCATATAGTCAACTCATGACTGCCAACTCAAAATGACAAATCCCATGTTTTTTCAAAAGGCTCACACTCAATGTGTGAATGATTTTACTACTATACAGCTGCATGATTAGCTCTTGGTTTTTTCCCCCACTAATGTCAAGGGTGGTGGTTTGGTAGCACTCAGTGTACAGGCAAAATAATTAAATTATGAAAGCCTTTAATGTTAGGATGAGGACTACATATGTTAAATTATTTTAAAATAGCACTTTCTTATCAAAGTCAACTAAAAATTAGAGACTTTAGACAACATGGAGTTATCCATTAATAAGAATGGTAATTATGGGGAAATAATAAGTTAAATTTATCAACAAAAACATAATGGAATTTGGTGAAATATAATTTCAAAAACATTCCTCATTTGGTTATGATTCCAGGCCACAATCTTAATGATTAAAGGAGCAATTTGGAGCAACTGTGGTCTCCCAAATGTTCCATTCTAGCAAACCCAGGTGAATAAGCAGAAAAAGGATGAGCGGACTATTATCTGTATTCTAAAAACCCTGCCTGTTGCTTTTTTTTTAAACTACCTCTAACATGTTTAAATGATAATTGCATCTTCTCAATGAGCACAGTTCCTTATTATTGGAATTGGCAGGGGGCCTTGACATTTGAGTCATCATTTCATTATGTCTATTTCTTATCCTGGTATACAAATTAAATAGAAATACAAGCCAAATGAAATATAGGAGGAAAATCTGAAGCAGAAACTTTAAATTAAATTAATTTTTCTCAAATCTATAAACTAGCTAATGCGATTAACATTGGTAATAACATATTCTGGTTCAAGCACATTTTCAAAACTATTAACTTCAACTTTAAAGGCAAAAAAAGCCTCCACCCCTCCTAGCCAAACGTAAAGCAGAACCTACAGCTTTTGTATTCCCTGAATTAAAAAGACACAATAATTCTGGCTTCAAAGGAACTACAAATGCAAACAAAAATAGACATCTAACACATTTCTTCCATTTGAAAAGGTTCCAAAATTGTTAGGAATTGTACATAAAATATGCACGAGTTAAAATATTATTTTATATATCTTTGTGTGATCAAATAGGGAGAATAATGATCCATTCTGATAAAATACCCAGAAGTACCAAACTGGAATCCACTTCTTTCCTTAGGTATTTTTCACATCACTGAACTTAACACAATGAAAGCATTACTGAATGATTTTCCTCTAATACTTGAACTAGTCATATTGAAAAAATGTTTATCATCCAATCTTTCTCAAGCACTTTAATTAAATTTTTACATGGAACTTTTAAATTTAAAATTAATTATGAAATTAAGGCGATATAAAATCCTCAGAAACATCTTTGGCTCTGCTTTCAGAGGCTACTTCCTCATTCCTGTATGATAGCAGGTATTCCAGAATGTATGTATGTAGATTACTCATTCACTGCATTTGCAATTATTTCTGCAACTCTTCTTTCCGTTCACTCAGAACAGCCTGTTCATTCTAACAGCATACAACTTCCCCTAAATGCTTGGAAACAAGCTGAATAGCCTCCAGGAACATCATTTGCTCTGATACAACATGTTATAAAGGTGTTCGATTGGAAACTGAATGACTTACGTTTAAATGCATGTCCAGAAAATTAACATTATTTTCCTTTTAATTACTGAAAGTACATTATCAAATGTTAAAATATCTGTGACTTTTTTTCTTTACATTTTATGTTCACTTTTTAAAATATTCCACATGGGGGACAGAATGTTTGCTTAAACTCAGCTATTCTAAGATTTATTATTGGTTTCTTTTTCATCACTTGCTTATAATTTAAAGCCTATACTTTCTCAAAATGGACTCAAAGAAAACCCACAGTAAGCATACATAGTATTCATCATATGCTCTGGAAGACTAAAAATATCCTAAAAAATGAGTCCCTATTTCAAAACTAACATTTCATTGGGAGTCTAATTTTGAGGTAGTCACTTAATTTTCCAACTTTTGGGGAGTATATTATTCTGCGTTACAACACAAAATAAGATGTAAACCAGATGATCCTAAAGCATGAAACTTAGAAGAGAGTATATTCAGATTATAATTAGTTTTTTAACTTAGATTTATTTTAAAATGAAACAGTCACCCCATGGTGTGGCACTCAATCTATAACATTTCTCTCAGAGCTTGACTTCAATCACTTGAAATATTCATGAGCTGATGCCAACATATTTTAAGTGAGTCCCATCATTTTTGTAATTGCAATAGCTGATATTAATGTCTTATTTTTATATGCTGAAATAAATTAATGGATGGGGCAGACACTACGCAAAATGACTGGGAATTAGGCCAAATCTTTTTACATATATCCAGGGACCAGTAATCTTCTAAATGGCACTTTAATCTCACTTGCCTAAATAATTACAAGTATAAGAAGCATGTAATTTATTGAATTATCCATTCTTCTAGTTCCCATCCCTCATCTCAAGCACATGGCCACTTACCTTGTCTTTATTTTCAGTGCCAGAAGCCTCAGGCTTGGTCCTAATCACAAAGGGGGTGGACAGCCGCAGCAGGACCCTCTCGAAGGTGGCATTCACCTTTGGGGAGACGATCTCAAAGCAGTCTTGGAACTTGAGCACTTTGTGAGTGTCACATCGGAGCTGCTTCCTCAGGCCTTCACCCAGCTGAAGGACTGACATGGTGGGGTCAAACATCAAGTGGAAAGGGAAGGCTCTGCAGAAGGTGTTGATGCTAATTCTGAGGTCTGTAGGAATCTGGGAGGTTCCTCGTGGAAGGTTCTTTGTGACATTAGCGTTTTCACATTCTTTGATAAGGAACGTAAGACAGCTACAATTGCCTGGGTTTGAACCCTCGGAGCACAGCTTCTCATTTGCAACCTGTTCCACCTCTACGTCCAGGCAGTAGATCTTCTTTCCTGCAGCCTTAATCATACCCAGCATTGCGAAGCCCACGACGTGGTGCGGGTGGAAGCAGTGGAGCATGAGAGTACCTTCAGGGAGCTCTTTGCATAGGAAAGATGGTGACTCCAGAGTGGCCTGTTTTCCAAAAGAAGTTCTAATGTGTTCCAATAAAGCATCGAAGCCATTAAAAAAGTCCTGTAATGTGCCACCTACAGCTCGAAGGACTCTTTCATTCTCATCAAAGCATATATTAAAGAACTCCTCACCAAATCTTTCTTGAATGTCCTCAAATTTCAAACCTAGAGGTAAATGGGAAACAAATGTTAATGAATCAGAATACAAATAATTAAACTTACAGATTTTTAAATGCTTACAAAAACAGTTGGCAGTGAGTGAAGCAAGAGAGGCACTTCTTTAGGCACACAAATTTCCCAATAGGTTAACTGATTCATTTTGAATCAAAATAAGTCAACCTTAGTTAACCTTCTGAATGCTTCTAAGACACAGGAATGAATGCGTCTGTTTGTTCCTAAATCATCTCCATTTTTTAGGCCACTTTTAGGTTCCAAAACTGGGCTGAAGGTAGATATTCCTTACATTCTCCCCACCCCACACATGTACAGCCTCTGCAATATCAACATTGAGAGTGATACATTCGTTAAAATTGACGAGCCTCCATTGAATTGTTGTCACCCAAAGCCCATAATTCACATTAGGGTCCACTCCTGATGTGGCATTTTCTATGGGTTTTGACAAATATATCTAGCACTGCAGTATCACACAGGGTGGGTTCACTGGCCTCTGCCTGTGCATCTGTTCCTTCCCCTAACTCCCAGAGCATGTGCTTTTCCCTTCTTAAGTCTCTGCTCCACTAGTTGGAGCCATCAAAATCATTTTAATCAATTTCCTCGGCCCTCACAGAATACTCAATTTGTTAGTTTATTGTCTCTATATACCTTCCATATTACCATCCTATTTCTTGACAGGCAGAGTGGACAGTGAGAGAGAGAGACAGAGAGAAAGGTCTTCCTTTTGCCATTGGTTCACCCTCCAATGGCCGCCGCAGCCAGCGCGCTGTGGCTGGCACATCGCGCTGATCCGAAGCCGGGAGCCAGGTGCTTTTCCTGGTCTCCCATGCGGGTGCAGGGCCCAAGCACTTGGGCCATTCTCCACTGCACTCCCGGGCCACAGCAGAGAGCTGGCCTGGAAGAGGGGCAACCAGGACAGAATCCAGCGCCCTGACCAGGACTAGAACCTGGTGTGCTGGCGCCGCAAGGCGGAGGATTAGCCTACTGAGCCATGGAGCCGGCCCACCATCCTATTTCTTAGCAAAATGCATTCAGTGGAAAATTTCAACCAGAGAGGGAATCTACAGTATATAAGTGGACAAAGACATCAAGGTTATCAAATAGAAACAGAGGGCTTATGTTAGTAATCTAAGTGGAAGTCATATAGGTCAACTAGACCCCAAGAGAGACAAAACAAGAAATAAGAAGTGCAATAACTTTGTGATAATTTGCATTCTTTCATCCATAAAAGTAAAGGGACCCAAGAATGCAGCAGGAATCTGACCAGACAGCATCAAGGTTCTGTTTTCTCTATATACGCACTCCCAGATACCCTGGCAAAAGGAACTCAAACTTATACTACTGAAATTATAATGAAAAATAATACATAGGCCGGCACCACGGCTCACTAGGTTAATCCTCCACCTGTGGTGCCGGCACTCCAGGTTCTAGTGCCACTTTGGGCACTGGATTCTGTCCCGGTTGCTCCTCTTCCAGTCTAGCTCTCTGCTGTGGCCCAGGAGGGCAGTGGAGGATGACCCAAGTGCTTGGGCCCTGCACCCGTATGGAAGACCAAGAGGAGACACCTGGCTCCTGGCTTTGGATTGGCGTAGCACACTGGCCGTGGCGGCCATTTGGGGGGTGAACCAATGGAAAGGAAGACCTTTCTCTCTGTCTCTCTCTAACTCTGCCTGTCAAAAAAAAATAGATAAATGCATTAAGAAGTATTAAGAAGCAAGAAGTGTGATCTAATGACAGTCACCATTGAGGGTAATCTGAGGAAATACATGGAAGGAACTTGTATCCCTAAGGATAAAGAAACATATATATAAAAAAAAAGCTGTTTGCATCCTAAAGTCAGTTTACACAGAGTCATGGCATTACATATCTTTACATATCCATATTGTCCAATCTACTCCACCTTATAAGGAAGTACCAAATAGGATCAAGGAAAAGACAGAATGTTGAGATCTAGGCTGTCTACAGTTTTGTTTGCTGTTCCGTTATCATTCTCTGAGTGTCCCCTCCACCCAGAAGAGAACAACAGATTAGGACCAATAATGTTATTTTTAAAATAAAGTCAAGACTCAGCAAATATTTGAAGAGACTACTGTTGAGTCTACAATTTGCAGTAACCAAGTAAAAAGATCAGTTTGACAAAGACGTTCTTAAAATCAATGTGAAATGAAAATAAGTAGAATACCTAAGTCAGAGTCCCTTTATTAAAGACATTCCATGTTAATTTGGGTTTCAAATAGTTGATGTCCAAAGCTAGCTAATTCATCTGTTAAGATAAAAATAATACCAGTAATCTCACATTGCCATGTTACATTACTCTTCAAAATGTATTGCAATTACTAACAATAATGCCAGCCAAACTTGATAATAATAGCGTTTATCTGTCTAATTCTCTGGTATGGAAGAGAGAAAACAAGATAGATGATATTCACTTTGGCTCCTGTTCTTATTGCTCTGCTGATATTCCTTAATAACTATTTAAACTAATGTATACTTTTTTGTCCTCTTACCTAACCTTGTTTCTGTTTATCATTAATTTTGCTACTATTAATTATCTCTTCCTCTTAATTTTCATCCTTTTTTGTTTATCAAACAATATTGTCTTGGCTTGATCACTCCTTGAAAATTCATTCTCACTTCCTTCTTTAAAACTACTTTTTATGCAGAATGGTTCTATCACAATCACTATGCTGTAAGTAAAATATTCTAACATATACAAATTAATGTCCAAATTCAATGTCAGTGCTTTTGTTGAAAGTTCAATATCATGAAATTCTTAATAAAATTAAATTCAGAATAGGTTCCTATAATCTGAATATATCTCCTGAACTACAGTATTCCATGTGTCACTAAAAACATTCCATTGATTTCTCCTAAGCCTTGAAGAGTTGCATCCTCAAAGAACTTAGGGTCCATGGCTACAGAGGAGAGGAGAAGAATTACTTCTAAGTTGAATTTCTCATAACATTGAAAACGCCTTTACAGTTATTAAGAACACAGATATAAAATACTGCAGTAAGCTTATGTTCTAAGGACAGAACCCCAAAGAATCACCCAGAAAATAACAAGTAGTAAATTAACCAGCAGCAACAAAATAAAAACAGTGTGCACAGTAGTCTATCAACTAGAAATCCTTATTCCTTTTAAAAAACAATTCTGTACTTTAAGGTACAATTATATCTAGTTTTCAGATAATGCCACAAAGGCATACCAGGATGATAAATTTACTTTTCTATCAATAAAGAAAACCTTAACTATTTTCAGTATTATAATCAAATATTATACATAATACTATATAAGCTACAATATTCAACTAACTAGTATTTTTAATCTCAGAACTATTAAACTGTACAAGATCAGAAAAAAGCAAAGCTTTCTACAACTTCCAAAATTAAAACCAGGATAGATTATTTCAACTTGTGTGACTATCTATACAAGTCAACCACCAGGACTTCCATTTTAAACCTCATCTCAAAAATCAGAAAATGAAGACAAAGTAGCTCAGACCATCCATGCAGCTCTGACTCCCAAGGTTCTGTCTATGACTGACACAGACCCCTACTAGAAGTAAGCCACTTGAAATATATAAACAATGCTCATCTGCTCATATCACACAATGCTGTTACAGCTTGACATTTGGGTCTATAAGAATACATTTCCTCAAGAGACAAAATTTATTTTAAAAGTTGTTTTCATTAATGGGTAAAAGAATTTTAAATTGGTATTCATTCACATCTTCAAAATGATGCAGTCTGGAGGCTGACACTCTTTAGCCTTAAAGGAAACAGAATCTGCTCTTTCAGGACATGGGCCTACAGTGTCTATCCCACCTCGGACTGTCCATTTTCTAAGGACAGGAACCTTGTCCTATTGACGTCCACATCCCTATCACCAGCATTAGCCTGGCACATAAAGAATAATTTTTTTCCATGAAAACTAAACATTCACTCAATTACATATTTGTTTGATAAACATTATCAATCCTTTGAAGTTCCAGCTGTGTGCCACATATAAGAGTACCAAGACAAATCATGTGTGCTTCTCTCTCATGGGTTCCTACGGATCACTTAATTACATTGTGACCAAGGTACAGAGGCACAAAGGGTTATCTACAGGGGTACAAGGATGAGAAATGTCTGCCTCTTGTTGAGATAATGCTAAAGGGAAAGTGGAAGAAAAAGTCGGTGTCCAAATTCCAACACGAAAGAGAGGAGCATGCCAAGAGATGAACTGCTGTGGAGTGCCAATGAAGTGGGAAAGTAGAAAGCCCAGCATGGTAAGGGAATAATAAGTAGTAAGTATATAATGGCTGGAAGCCCTGTGGGCAGGAAGTTGTTAATTAATGAACACTGCAGAAGTTGGACTTGAAATTGCCAAGCCCAGAGTCAAAGATGCCAACCAGAAAGATGCTGCAATGTGTTTACAAGAAGATAGATTGATTGAATTAGTTTATTGCAGTAAGAATGAAAGAGTGCCAAGAAGTATGATAAATACTTTCATAGATTATTGAATCCTTCTAAAAGGATTTTTAATCATGCTTATTTACAAGTAAGGAATATTAAGAAATATGCTCCAATTCACATAACTCTAGGTAGCAGAGCCAGGTCTCAAAGTGAAACCCGGCTAATACCAAGTATTTTGTAATCACAGCATCAAAAGAGAAAAATCTCTGCACAGGGGAAAAAAACACGCATGTCTTGCTCATTGTCAATTCCTAGTATTCTTCCTCGTTCAGTAAGTACTCCCTGGATGTTGAATGAATTCACGTATCACTGAGGAAAACAAAGGAGCAGTCAACAGTTATCAAATGCCACAGCAAGGTCAAATAAAATATGGACAGAAAACGATCAGCTGGATTTGTCAGACCTTGGGGCAACTTTGGCAGAGTAATTTCAGTGAAAGTGTCAGGGAAGATGACTGAGTGTAACAGGGTGAGAAGTGTGGGACAGCCAGAAAGATATATTCGTTTTCAAGGAATCAATAATACTTGAAGG